CAATTTGATTTCAATTATGCCACCAAACATTCGATTCCTGTAGTTTAACCATCAAAACTAACATTGTGTTCAGTTTTAATTATTTCTTTATTTTAAATCAAATTAATAAAAGTTAAATAAGGCTAAATTAAGCGAGTAATAATCTTGAGAAGACTCACATTTACATCTTCATTTCAAGAACAGAATTCCCAAACTACTGTTAACAACATTAAAACTCTTGTTTTTCGTTCAATTTTGTTGCAGATTTCCACATTTTTGTACGTCTACATGTTGTAAATTGCTTTTTCAAGTTGATTGCAGTTATGCCATCAATCTTTCGTTTTCTGTATGATGTATGGAACATCAGTTTAACCATCAAAAGTAACATTGTAGTGAGTTTTAATTATTTGTTCATTTTAAATCAATTTAATGTATGTTCAATAAGACAAAATTAGGCAATAATAATCCTGAGAATGCTTCTAAGCAGACACATTTACATCTTCATTGCATGAACAGAATTCCCAAACTACTGTTAACAACATTAAAACTGTAGATTTGAACATTTTTGTCCACTTTTGTTGCAGATTTTTCACTTTTTTGACAATTATAGTTTTTTTTTCTTCATAGTTGTGTATTGCTGTATTTCCTTTTCTATATACAGTGGAACCTCGCATAACGAGTATTTCGTTTAACGAGCAAAATAAATTGTAAGAAAATGGAACGCATTATCGTATATAACATTAGTTTATATGCACTAATCGAGTAGAAATTCGCAAATTTTGGAACGGTTATGCTCGTTAAGCGAGGTTCCACTGTATCTTTATTATATTATATTTTGCTAAGTTTTGGTGTATTTTTATATTAATTTTATATATCAATAAATATTTTGTATTATGCCTGAGAAAAAGTATAAGAATTGAATTTTTAAATGAGTTTATATTTAAATATAAAGTTTGCGATGTTTAAAGAAACGGAATAAGATACGGTTTAATCTACGATTAATTCTTAGAATTTGATTATAATGTTGATAACTTACTGAGGTTAATAGCATCATTAAATTGTTTTACATATTTCTCAATTCATGTCTCAGATAATGTAATTTTTATATTATAATTGTGTTTTAAATTATAATTAAATGGAAACATGTCGAATTTGCTACAATTCTTATATTTCTCTTTTAAAAATAAACGTTTATTGCAATAATATAGACAAAATTGTAATATTTTCTTAAATATCTACTATAATTCATAAAAAAATTGATTTACTCATAATTAGATTAGATTTTTGATATTAAAAGTAAATTCAATGTATGTTGAAACTACGGAAATATCAGAGGTTAAGTAAAGTTCAGAAGTTACATTGTCCAGATAAGTATTTTCTAGGCAATTCAATTTTTCTATAATTTCTATAATTGAGTCAATTAAAAATTGCTTGCGAATAGATGCATTTTTTCATTCTCTACGTCATCATTTAGTTCTATTTATAAGCATTTCTGAGTGCAAATCACATATACAGGTTTCGATAGAATTAAAAGTCGCATCAAACAAGTTAGAAGCAAATTGTCGAGTGATTGTTCATATCGTATCTTTTATATAAATTTTTTTATTGAATTTTTCATGGGAATTTACCTTTCCTTTCAGTATTTTCACGCTAATTACATTTTAGCTTATATATTAAATCTATAAACGCAATACTAATTCTAATAATGCAAATACGATTTTATAAAATGATAAATTTTTAGTTTATTTTGTTATTGTCGCTTCGTATTAATATACAAATCAATTAATTATTATTAATATTTTAACACTTGATCATTTGTATAAAAAAATAATAGATTTTTGTATGATAATTCTATAATGTAACAAAAATTGATAATATATTTCTTTTATATTTTTTTTACATGTGTTTCAAAAAAGTAACATTAAGTGAAGACACTGAATTTGTTTATAATAATTGATGATGAATGATTCATTCTACAGCAATCAATACCTCGCAAAGTGCGGATTCGATCAGTCCGGATTCACTGTAGTAACTAAATTTGAATTTAGCAAAAAATATAGTCTAAAAATGAGTGTGTACTCATTATTTTGTATAAATAAATAATCGATTTTTCTCTATTGTACAGTCTCTTTTAGTGCGGTTCGTTTTTATGTGGTTTGGAAGACCTCAATTAGTACGGTTTCATTTGTCGGAATTATTAAGATTACCCACACTATGCTGTATTTATTTTGTAAACAAATAAATTAAAAATTAAACAAATTTATTATATCTAAAATATAAAATTACATATAAATATCTAAATTTATTATAAAAGTATAAAAATGTAATAAAAATGACTATAAATCTTTGCGGCGATAGTAGTAGGGTCAACGAATTTGTGATTGTACATCGGGAAATAACGACGAATAACCAGAAGTAATTTCAATGTCGTAATACGTAAAGTTTTGAAACGTTTTCTATTTTTTATTTACTTTTGATTTTTGCGTGCGTCGTAAACAATGCGACATCGATACAGTTCAGTTTTACGTAATTCTTTTTGATTACTTTAAAAAAAAAATTCAAATTGCATAACTATTACTTTTTACTTTATCTTTTACAGTTTTTATATCAATTTATTGTTACTTATTCTCTAGTTATTAATTATATAAATTAATTGTACATTTTACATTATTTTATTCTGGCTTTGGTCTTTCCAACCAAAGAAAAAATGAAAGTAATTTTTGACATACTTTTTTTAGAAAAATTATCAAATTTCACTATTTTCTTATTAAGAATTTTCGAAAATATTTGCAATACAATATTTTTCTAAACTAAGCACATTTTGTAAATAATTTAATATATTCATGGAATTTTCTTGTTAACGGAAACAATTAATTTCCATCAACGTTTTAAATTAGTATACAATATACAATTGCATTAATTAATTACAAAATAACAACCGCAATGTTTTGTTGTTTGTTGTAAGTTCATAGTGAAATATTGCTCATATTTGTTAGTATATATCTAATCTTATTCTCTGTGGGCCAGAATAAATCCTGCAATTTCCCAGCGGTTTCATATGAATCATTGTACTACAAAAATTTACTCACACTTAGATTTCTCGTAATTGTTCAACGAAATGTGAAATTTATTATTTTTTATGTCGTATAATTTTATGAACAATCTGTTCATCAATGTGAACATTGAGTAAATTTAAGATCTTGATGTACAAACTGTGAATTGGGTTGTAGATCCTTTTAAATGTGAAATTACTAACATACCAGAAGAACCTCCAGGTTTAGCAGAGACATTTCTTGAACTTCGATCCAATACTGAAGCACGTATTCAATTTGATACCAAAGGAAATCTGTCGTCTTTTTGGTTGTCAAAGGCTGCAAAGGCTTTCAAAATTGCACATGAGGAGGCGGTAAAAAAATTGCTGCCATTTGCATTTCTGAGACAAGCAAATCTTGTCGTCTTTTTGGTTGTCAAAGGCTGCAAAGGCTTTCAAAATTGCACATGAGGAGGCGGTAAAAAAATTGCTGCCATTTGCAACAACCTACCTTTGTGAACAAGGCTTTTCCACTCTAATGAACATAAAAACGAAAAACAGAAATCGATTAAACGCCGAAGACTGTATTCAAATTGCTCTTACATCAAAAAGTCCCAATTTTAAAGTAATTATATCAAACATGAAGCAACATCATGTTTCCAAAACCTGAAGGGGGAAAGTTTTCAATTAATTTTTGTTTGTTCCAATTTAAGAATTTTATTTTAGTTTTGCTCTGTTTATTATATATTTTGTTACTTATTTGCATTGCATAATATACTTATGACGTAAAGTAAGTATAATTTGTCTAATTTTTATTTGTTACTATTTTCATGTAACTTTTTTTTATAATATGTAAATGCAAATTAATTCAATAAATAATGTTTATTTAAAATTTACATTGATTGTTTTCCATTCAGAATGGGGGGAGGGTCGACTTACGCAATAATATTTTGGGGTAATGGTTAAAAAAGTTCCCCGGCCGCTGATCTAAAGCAATGGATGCAATTAACTCATACATTTACTTCAAATGCATTGGTATACTAATCTAGAAATAAAGAAAAAAAAATATAATATTTATCCCTCAAGGCCACCATTTGGACGATATTATATTTAAAACTTTTTCTCTTAATATTTATGTTAATGTAATAACTTGTTTTCAAAATATAAAATTTGGGCTTTGGGATAAATGAGTCCCATTAGACACTTAATTCTTGAAATTTTTTAGAACAAGTACTTTTCATTATAATTTTATCAATCTACTTTATTAGTTGAATATTAGCATTGTTTCTATACCATTAACTTTTTCAACTATTTTAACGTAAGATACATCTGGTTCTTCAATATCAACTTCATTTTCATATATCCCACTGGAAATGTGCCACAATAAGATAAATGTAATTTTTTTTCGCAAATCTATGAAAAACTTGTATCAATTTTATTAACTCATATTTGTTCATATTGAAAGCATAATTCACTCAATAAAATAGACATTTACTTGAAAATTTGCAGTTGATAGCTTTATGTTAGATTTGCAACGACCGTTTGGCATGAATCATAATACATTGCGCATTGAAATACTATTAAAACTCTACAATGCAAATGGGACTCATAAACGATAAAGTATGGATTGATATTTTCAATTTGAATGATGTGAAAAGAAGACATGATACAAAGACAAATTAATCTGTTTTGGACTATTTCTGAGCTTCCTATAACGCGGTAAATATTAATCTGATCTGGAGAAATTTCCTTTTCTACTAATTCTAAGTTTCTTGTAACGCAATTTCTATTTTACGCAGTACCAATTAATGGGAATTTTGGAGCTTACTATAGCGGTACCATGAAGTTTGAAGCTTTGAACAAATTGTGTTCGTTAACCGAACATACTTATTATTTATAAGCTAATATTTGAATACGTCATACATAAATGCAACTAAAAGTTTTCTTAATATACAAATTCCCATTTTAATAAAGATGAATGGAATCAAACTAATTTATAGTTTCGTTTCTTCTTATATGTATAAAACATATGATTACTGTAATTAAAGAAACAACAACACTTTTATATTAATATTCTAGAAACAATTGATTGCATTTTTTTGCAACAAGAATAGAAAAAATATGATTTTTATTGGTGAATTTGAGAAAATAAATTACCGTTTACGATCGCGTGTCCTTGAATGCGTTTATAATAATTATATATTTACATTTTTTTTTTGAGCCACGTAAATCCTTGTTAATATCTACTGCCTCTACATGCATTGTCATTTTCTGACAACTTCCTATGTTTCGTGATATATCGTCACATTTGTATCGAATGCGGATTGGAAACATAAACAGGAATAAATAATTGTTAAAAAAAAAACGATATTTGCATGTTAAGATATTGTTCAAGTTTTATTTGAAATCGAAATAAACGGAAATCTCATTATTTAAGAATGTGCTGACTTAAAGGTTAATTGAATTCAGCGGTTTCTCTAATACATGATTTCGACAATTGTATGTAATAGCTCTCGGCTTAAAATTTGCATGTATTTATATTCCAATTGTGGATTAATATATATTGTTTTTGTCTATTCTTGAGGTACATACAGTGGCGGATTATCCATTATGGCAATGAGACACGTGTCTAGGTGTTCTATAGTGCTTTGAGTCTATAAGGGGCCAGAAATTCCTAAATTTCTAAAAAGACTGAATCAGACAGATACGTCAACAGATGAATCAACATCGGATGGTATGGTCTACCAAAATACATCTAAATTCTGATTGCAATACATCTAAATTCTGATTGCAACAAGTATAGTATTGTGAAAATTTCAAGAAAATTACATGAAGAATATCTATGTTTATAAACATTTTGTTTATCTTTAGAGAATCTATGTATACATACGGTTGAAAATGTTTAGTATGCCATGCAATTGACGTTGATCGGCCTTCGTTTGTTCAGAATGGTAAAGGAAAATTGAAAATGCAAATTGCATATATTAGATTTAAGATTTCCATTCCGAGCCTTCTTTATAATTACTTTCCGTAAACAAAACATTTGTTTACTAATATTAATAAGTAAGTTTTAATTTATTTTTACCTAGAAAATAATTTCCGTTTAGTAGTATTAATTTTATTGTAACAATTATGCAAAATTAATAACATAAATATTATTATTAATTGTTTAAATGCAAGTTTTCGTTATGGAATATTTTCGTTTTCCTATAATATCTATTTCTCAACTCAACTTTAACCTTTCCGCAAAAATATAACAATGTATAGGTGATTTTTGTAGAGTATTTTGAAGCCATAAGATATTTTCTAGTCTAATTTTCTATTGAGAAATGTTGGTATAGGATAATAAAATCCTTATATGAGTTCTGCAGTTAAAATAAGTCAAATATTGGAAGTGTAAATATTTTCCAAAAATTAATCCAAAATTAATTTATTTAGTACGTGCATTCTTCCACCTTTATAATTGTATTATAATTTTCTAGAAAATGTCCAGGAACGTGCAATTACCACCTTCTAATCAGCAAATGCTTTAAAACAATTGATTTTTTTTATTGTTACAAATACATTTCTTGTGTGGCCTCCACTTAGGTTTAGAAATTTAGGAATTTCTGGCCCTTCAAAATGTTAAGAAGAGAGTAAAGGCTGATCTACAAAATAAGATTCGCATTATTACTAGTAAAAAGTGATGAATGGAATTGTTTCAACGGTTGTTTGTTTTGCAATCAGAAGTGCAATTATTATTGTATCTATATTTAGTTTCTCAAGAAAAGGAATTAAACGGAAACAATGACTAATGATTTGTATTGAAAGATGGTGAACAATTAAATTATTTTGTATTTTATTTTCAACTTTTGTATATTAAACGTTTATAATTGTATCCTCCTTCTAATTAATTTTATCATAACCATAAAACGCCTGTTAAATATACCAAACTTGTTTATGTCGAGGTACGAGGAGGATGTTTTAATTGGTTTACCTGCACACAATGTTGTCTTTGTTGAGATTATCGTTTAAATAAGATGAGATATTAGACAATCCTTCTTGGAAACAATACACATTCCAATGATAATTCGATTTTAATTTGCCATATTGAATTGAAAATTTGTTCAATTCATGAATTATTTTATCATTTTTTTTGTTTAATACTGAGGAAACCTGTTATGAAATTAATTAGCAGAAACAAAACCAAATAAATTTGTAAAGAGTGTTGCCTAAAATCGACTAAATTTGACTACTTACTTATTATAATATTTTACTAGAAAGATGAGATTATAGTAAGTACACTTACAGAAATGAATGTGTTTATACCACAATCAGTTGCTTAAATTGGACTGGTTTAAAACGTAGTTATAATAACGATTAATAAACTTGTATACATTCAAATTAGAACAAGTTCAAGTGAAAAAAAACACAAGAAATTATGAACAATAAAGATGCAAAACAAACACTACATAATTTTGTATTGTATATAAAAAATAAACTAGGGAAAGTTCTTTAATTGAGTAAGAATTACCAAAAAGTACTTTTACTTAAATTGTACAAAGTTTCAGATTGTGCAGGGTTTCTATCTTGTGAAACAAGTTGCTTTAGTCATTCAACTATGATAAATATCCTCGGTTTTTACCGTTGAATTTAGAAAAATCTATTATTTTAAAACAACATTCTAACAATTGATGTTTTCATTTATTTTTCTTATACATATTCCCCTACAATCAGACAATTCACTAATCAGAATATGAGTCTTTAAGAAGTAATCTTTATAAGACAACTTAAGATCAAGGAATTATATTTATACTTCATCAAACATTTTTTTATCATTCTCATCAATTTTTAAATGAAGTATTTATCAAAAATAATATTCATCATAAATTACCAAAATACATTTCGTATACTTAATTAAAAATATTTAGTTTTCTAAAATTTACAGTTTATGGATAATGGATTTAAGGTTAATAAAACGACTCTGATGGTACTTATAAATATACTATATATTGCGTTTATAATCAGGCCAGACTCTCTTGCTTGTTCAAACTGACTTCGAACATGCCATCAGGTTGTCGTTTCTTGTTCCTTGGTGGTGGCAGTGGCGGCTTTTCGGCATCCTGTTTATCGGCTGGAAACTTATGAGCCAGCATCCAGTTCTTGAGTTTAGAACCAAGATTGTAATAGTGAAAGAATAGAAGGGACAAAACTAAAAATATTGCTAAAAAAGACACGAGCCCAATGACCAAGGACGATATTGGGGAGTAAGAAGACTCTGGTTGTTCTTGCGGTTTCTGAGTGGCCTCTTGTTCCACCTCCTCCGGTATCTCGTTGGTCTCGACTTCTTCATCTGGAGTAGTCATGGATCCGAGTGCGACATCGGCACATGCCCTGAATTCCTCCTGCGGACCGCAACCAACAGCTCCGGTACCGTTCGCACAGTCACCCCAGTTATTACCTATAAGTACAAAACAAATTGAAAAACTGTAATGTTTAAATTAGGATTTATGTACGGACCTGCTATGTATCTCCATTGGAGAAGGCAGTGCGGACAAGTGAGTTTCGGCAGTTTGTACTTCATTTCGTACACTTTGTTTCCGTCTTTTGGGAAATACCTCGTCGACATGTGCTCGACATTTTCCTGCGGCTTCAGGAGTTGCAAAATGTTGCGCGCTAGACATTCTTGCGTCGCGTTCTTGAAGTTGGGACACAGGGAGAACTCGAAGAATCCGAAATGCGATGCTGTTAATTCCACGCGTATGTTTATCGTCTGACCGGGCTTGTATTGTCTTACTATTACACCCTGGCCGTAGGCTCCTCCATATTCATGAGCTCTTGGAATCCTGAAAACAATAACAAATGTTTCAAATATAATTATATTTTAGAAAATGATCATTAACAATGATTCACATGAAAGTATACAAGAATTTACAAGAAAAAAAATCCAGAATTGACATAGCCAAGATATTTGTCTGTAACAGTGATTCCCAAAGTGGTCTATATCGGTCAGCGAAAAACAAATTTGGGGGTCCATTAAATGAAAATGGGGGTCCACGATAGTGGATCTCAACATACACTGATAGTACCTATTTACTATCTATTATACTATCTTATAATATAAATACTTATACAAATTATATAAATTTAAGTGTTAGATTGTATGAATCTCTTCAATTAGTCATTGATGCAGTAAACCGAATCCGAAGCAACGCATTGAATACTTTCATCAATTACTCCTTCACACTGAAGTACTCTGGCTGTCGAAAGCCTTATGTTTGACAAGATTTTTTTTGCACTTTTTGAGACTATTGTAGAATTTCCAGATACTAAAGATAAAAATAAATTTGATTAAAACAAAGTCCATCTTACCAGCGTTTCTTGCCAGTGATAAACTAATGAAGCAAAATATTGGACGGACAAACTGCCAGGAAGACGACGTTTCAACAACCTACGTTCAGCATTTAAATACCCTCTATTCAGATTTAGAAACTAGGTTTGATAATACCACCGTAGATAATTAACCCACATGGTGACATAGAAGAAACGAATGTCATAATACAAGAGGAACTGACTGAACTAAGTACAAACGAAGAACTTAAGGTTCAGTTTAAAAACGGATATCAGAAATTATGGCTGCAAAACAACATAGCCGTTCCGTTACTTATACCGTATTATGGAATATAGCGAGGAAATTTTTAATTTCCTTTCCATCGTCATACCTAGTGGAAAGCTGTTACCAATCACCTAAAGAAAAAAAGTAACAGACTGGACATCATTAGACGAGCAGATTTAAGATTAAACCTTACAAAATTGACGCCAAATGTTGATATTTTTTTATTAAAGCATCAGGTTCATCCTTCTCACTAAAAACATTTACTTATTGCTTAGTTTATTTTATGTTACCTATATTTTACATAACAGATACAAAATTCTATTCTATGTATAAAACTTAACATGTGTTTTTACTTTAAGTTTTAACAGTAAACTTCACTACACTTAGAAATTTACAAAAAATCAATATCAAACAAGTTTGGGAACTTCTGGTCTATAAGAATAAAATTAATTCATTATCAGTTTTCGTAAGATAAAAATTACTTATAATTAAGACTATTGCAATAAAACTATGTAGAAATAGAGATTAATCATTTTCGAAGAGAATATGATACTAGTATTTGGAAATACTGACATACATTTGCATTTCTTTTAGAAATTTATCATTTTCAAGCTTCGATTTGAATTTACTCATTAGGTTACAAAAAAAATACAAAAGTAACATTAAGCATCAAGGAAATATATTATGATTCATTATATATTTGGTTTTTACGTGATAACAATTTTTCATGCAATTTTATTTACATGTTTGTCTCATATTACTTTAATTATTGCTATAATCTTTTGAAATTGTAATTATAACAATAGGTAACTTTTTTTTCCACTCACTCTTTTCTCTTCTCTTGAAAGTCTCATCAATTAGGTTTTTTTTTTAAAGTTCCACTATCCAATATACGATATTGATTGAAGATGCAATTTTGTTGGTGACTAGGAAAATTAAATTTTGTATTGAAAGTTAGTTTGATAGATCCAAAACAAGGTATATTACATCCTCTTTCCGAAAATAGTTGCTACATTTCACTTAGATTTTTGTCCAGAAATAGTTGCTACATTTAGTTAGAAACAAGAAAATGAGGAATTAATGTTAATTAAAAGAAGAAACATAGATAAATCATAGACAAAAAAGTTTAACAAATTCCTACGCTGTTTCAACGGCGGTTTTATAGAAGTCATTAAAGTCGAACTTTGTCTTAACGTCTCATCGGTCTACAAGCGTTTTACTTAATTTCTTTTCCTTTTTCAATAAGCCAAAAGTATTTTGAAATTTAGATTCATGTGCCAATGATCTTAATGTGCTTCTTTTGCAGAAGGGAATGGTGGAAATGTTTTGAATCAATTGACTATAGTACATACTTCATTTTACGAGAATCAACGTTATGTGACTTTAGTTTGTGTTTGCGATCATCATTACTAAATTATCCATACTTTCTTTTTGTATCGGTTGGTTATTTTCTAGGAAAATATCAACAATACCGTAAAATTGAAATGCAGCAACTGTTTTTCGGAAGTATGTAATAAATTCTACACATCAATTGAAAATTGAAAATTTTATTAACATTTTTGATTCGAATTTTTTTTATCAATTAAAGTGTAAGGAAATTGAACAAAGGAAATTGTGGTAAACTTACTTAGAATCCCATGGATCTCCACAGACTCCGCACTTGCCCTCATTCTTGACCCACTGTCGCGTAAAACCGCCACAATAAAGCTCGTGGTCATTGAAGTTGTGCGGTGTATTGAAGCCGTACCGCCAGGCGGAAGCCCTACTTGGTGGTTCGATTAGTCTGCCATGTCCATCAATACTTCGTACAGCCAGAAAGGCCAACAATAAATAAACCGGCAACATCTCTGCACAAACTGAAACAAGAAAGGAAACGATTAAAAACAAAAATAAAAACAATATTGTCTAAAATTAATACCATTGTTTCAAAGTTCTTTGTTCTACATTTGCGTTATGTAACCTTATGGTACTCTTTAAGAGGTCGATTTTTATTTTTTTTTGAGTGGAGGAAGTTTACGCGCCGCGCATTTCCGGCTCCATTGGCACTGCAATACGAAGCAGAGAACGGAGACTTTCTTTCCGTCCGTGTCGTTAATATTTCGCTTAAGAAAACTACTTCCTCCCCAGAATCTAAACAGTACTCCAAACATTTTGAATTATTGAAACATTCTGTTTCGTGTTTAGATTCGGTTAAATAGAAAGTGAAATTGTATGCGTAGGCCGGACGTCTATTATTCGAGCTTCCCAAAAAAGTGGAAGCCATTAATCAAAATATATAGGTGCTCTTCTCTGCGCCGAAAATACATCTTCCAAGTTTTGTATATAAGTTATTATTCCTTATTTTAAATCGGGTTTGTTTATGCTCGAACCAAACATTTTCAACTGACAGTGCTGTAATTCCTGTTTGGATTGTATAATTGAAAGGAGGCGGATATTGGAGCGACTACAGCTTTAAACAAAAACGTACTTCCATATGTTCAAATCATTTGCTTGTAAAACATTAAAAAAATTAATAATTATCAACAATTAATATTTTTACAATAACATATAAGAATACACAGAAAAGTAGAGAGAATAACAAGTAAAGGAAATTTTGCAACTTATTAGCAATTAATTTAATTAAATAATTAAATTTTATGTTTTTACTATTAAAATTAATTTTGTATTAGAAAAATTGTGTTTTCTAGATTTTACTCAATATTTTAGTTTCTATATTATACTAAAACATATCAAAGAAAGACTACAATCACACCCAAATAAACTAGTGGAAAATCTACTAGTAAATCCATTATATTATACTAATTTATATAGGTGGATATTGTTGAGTTCCTTCCCCGTGTTCATTACATTTGTACCACCAAGAAATTTACTTATTATTCTTATATAGAAAGATTGTAAATAAAAATTGATGTTTTATAAAAAAAAATAGTAAAACATATTATAACACGTTATTATTGACGCATGTGCTTTTATAAAATGATTAAGAAATCAGTCTTAAGAAAAAATATTTAACATATTGTTAATAGTAGCAATAAGTATGAAATGTGTTATTATGCAATACAATGCATACGAGATATAATGGTTGCCTATCATAGAAACATATGTGTAGTTTATGTAACTGTTTTTTTTATGAAACTACTATTTGATTTTATTTTCTGGTCATCAACTTTTTATCCTGGCTATGGTCTTATCTGATACTTAAAGTCGTTGGTTCGATTCCCAACAAAAATTTGTGGTGGCTGTTAAACCTGAAAGGGGCAGAAATGGGGCTGGAAAAAAAACTTTTTATCCCGCAGGACTAGTGTACTATCCTATGTTTGTAGAATACTGAACGTTTTACATTCAAAACTTAGGCTGTATTAGCGTTCTAAATTTACTTATTTACTAAATGTTAATGTGACTTCATATAACGCTGTCTTAATATATTAAAAACTAGTACAGGTATCCCCCAACTGTCCAAACAAAAATTGATAATTTCTTTAATAAAATATAATACAGAAGATCTGTACTATCTGTTTTGTTGCATTTGTTTCTTTTGTCGTTTTTTTTTTTAAATAATTGTGATGTCTACATTGGAAGTAAGTATTTTGTTTATTTTAATCTATTTTTTCAAAATTTTGAAAATTTCCCCGACTTACGAACAAATTCGACTTACGAACAACACTTTGGAACGTAACTAGTTCCTAAGTCGGTGGATACCTGTATTGTTTGAATCTGCCCCAATGGTTAAGATCGAAGTGTAGAATCTTGAAGTAGAAGATCAGTATAATTAACTATATCTTCAATATCAAGATGATTGATGGAATACGATTGTTGCTGCGGTTCTGCTTTGTAAACAGAATATTTCTTAGTTATTGCTTTGACATTTTTGGTTTCCAGTAACTGTTAAGTATTAAAGTCTAAAATGCAATTTAATTCCTCCCATTTTCAAGAGAGGCAAGTTACTAAACTGATACAAATCATTTGATCAAAACGTTTTCTAAAGACAGTCGAAATGTCTTTCTTTCAGAATATATACATAAGTCAATTGTTTATAACAAATCTGATATAATCATGCGGATTCAATGGAAATTAGCACGAAATTTCCCAATATTTCTTATGATTTATCTTTGAAAAGAAATTAATTGATTTTATTTAAAAAAAAAATAAAATTCCAAAATTGGAGTATAAATTTGTCGACAAGAAAAAAATCATATATGCTTTAAATTGTTTTAATACACCTACATAAGTTCAATGGCACGGTTTCATTCTTCTTCCTATATAAAGAAGTTACGTACGTCGACAGATGTTTGATTCTTTAATATTATTTTCACTACTGTTCACGGTAATATAATAATATTACCGTGAACAGACTTCTTGTCCATCTGGAAGTGCTTTAACACTTCCTTTCGTTTTAATTAATGGCAATATCTTGCATTGCATTTTATCAACAAAAGATGATATAAATGTTACTATTAGTACTTTATAAAGTTATATATCGGTTAACGTAACCTCTAATAATAAATCTTTGATATAACAAAGTCAAAATTAAGACAAAATATTTCCAGTTATACTACAAGAAATTAACATACAAAAAGATGGTTTGATCAATAGGTTTCGTAATCTTCTATGTGGAAGATTTAAAAACCTTGTTAATATCGAAATTCATTTGAGAACTTCTCTAGTATTAATACCTTTGAAAACGAAGTTTTGTAGACAGCTAATTTGGGTATAACTACATATGAACGCTGTCTTAATATACCAAAAACTAGTTCAGGTAGTACAGGGGGGATTTACGACCAGAAATTTTTAAAATTTCCCCGACTTACGTACAAATTCGACTTACAAACAACCCTTTGGAACGGACTAGTTCGTAAGTCGGGTATTGTTTGCTAATTTGTTATAAGGATTTTTTTCTTGACTTTATAAGGACTTTTTGGTAAATACAATATTTCATAACTTTTACTCTAATCTCTTTTAATAATATTATGACTAAAATCAGACACAATTCTGTTATTAATAAATTTTGAATCAATAAAATCATAAATATATGGTTTATAATAGATTTATTAATTTCGTAATGGAATATTAATGGTATTCAGGTTACATAGATTGCGTTACATAACGGCTTATTGGAGAGGTAGCAACAATTTTCAAGCGTTTACTTTCCATGTCTCACGTTCCCTTTCGCGACAAACGCAATTATTGTTTCTATCCAGTCGGTATTTCAATAAAGCTTGAACTTCGCAATAGTGCAGATAATAATTAGTTTCACATATGCAAGTCACTTTCCATTTACAATCTATTCAGTCATTGCATATTATACAATGTGGGTTAAGATATTACTGAAAATACGTGTTAATTATGTATGTTTAACTGTTTCTATATATATTATTATATAGATTCATTTATGTAACTTTTCCTAAATCAAAATTATAATTTTTACAGAAATTACTATGAAATATTTTTAGATTTTGAATATATTGACATACATTATTTTTTAAACTTGAACTTTTTGAGAAAGGTCATTTGTAATTTGCATAGCCTAATTATTATAACATACTTGCAAGTTGTTGTTTTGCTTTTTTAAGATGATAGAAATGTTAGATTTATCATATTATCATAAATATTTGATGCAGCTAAAATACTTTCTATCAAATTTATTTTATTTGCATGTAAAACTTAACAAAAGTTACGAATATTATTATTAATATTTACAAACAATTTATATTCAAAAATTAAAAAAATATTATAATAACCTTTATAGTTGCTCTTTGAAAAAAAATAAATAAAAAGGAAGTTCAATATTTTGATGTAAAAAAAATGATATTTGTATTTTCAAGGAATTTCTTCATTAATTATTATTACGTTTTCAAATAATTTAACTATTAGACAGATAATGACATTTTGTAGAAAGATATTGGGAAAAATATATGAAATGTTATTAATAAAAAGTCTTTATAAAGTCTAATTTTTCTTTAACAAGTTAACAAACGTCTTTTATTTGATACATGTTACATAAAATAGTAGCTGACTTTTCCTTCCAAGAAACAATCATCTTTGTTACTAATTGGAATTATTTAATGGTACATTTGATATATAATCATACTTCGATTTGCGAAAAAAATGTTTTGGTATAAATACTAGAGAAGTTCGCTAATAAACTTCTTTAATTTCGTCTTCATTTTATTAGAAAACCATTAGAGCAGATTCAAACAATATAGGTAATGGACTTTGTTGTATTGAAGCTTCATTATCTTTATCCGATTAATTATTAAAATTATAGAATTTCCTTTAAATTATATAATATAATAAGGATATGTTTTTAAACTAAGATTGTTTTATAATTCTGATATTTTCTAGTTTATAACGTAGTCACAATGCAATAATAATTTACGAATATGCAAAAATAAATCTTCAAATTTCATATATTTTCTAAGAAAAACATATTAATTATACAGTAACACTTTGCATAGCGAGGTTTCAATCAGTGCGGATTCATTATAGTATGATTTGAAAATTTCAAAACAATCAAAATTTTAATTGAGCAAAAACAAAATAAATTCTAAATAATTAATTAGTACACATAAATGATCATTTTTTAACTTCTATATAGTTTACTTACTGTACTAACATACACTTTTATAATTTTTATATAAATGTTAGTTTTTAGTAATTGTACTAAGGTATAAATATTCAACATAAAATATTTGTATTTTCACTTACACTTTATACCTCATAAACGAATTAGTTTTTCTTGTAATAACAAATTAATAAGACTTGTTGGAAACGTACTAAAAGTAAGACTAAAAGTAAACCTTTATTATTTTTGTTTTCTGATAATCAGGAGTGGTTTATGCTATCAATGTGAAATAAT